ATATTTAGTCATGTAACTAATACTTATTAAACTTATTTTAGCATGATTTAGTACTTTTAAATTATGATCATTTTCATTCTGACTTGTTAATTTGCAATATTTGTTTTACGCGATTTCATTATTATTATTTTTGTTGGATATTTTAGTGTCATTAATCATATCATATTGTGTTATATTTTTAAGAAACATCTTAGATAGTTGTATTTTGGTAGGACTAAAGAAATATTTGAAGTACAAGTAAATTATATGTTGTGTATGAATACTTTATCGGAAAAACCCGAAACAACCCGAAAAACCGAAAAAACCCGAGGTTGAAAAACCCGAGTTTTATTGGTTTGGTTTGGTTCATAAATTTAAAAATCCGACACAAATGGTTTGGTTTGATATTTGAAAAACCCGAACCAACCCGGCCGTGTACACCCCTAATGTTTGGTGTCTAGTATTTTTTTTATTTTCATCTTCTCCTTCTATTTGTTTCTCCAAATTCAGTTCTTAAGTTCCTAATTAACCATTTCTAATTTGGGATGACGTAAAATGGCTTGTGGACCAAATCAAAGGTAATTTGATTTCTAGTGTAAATGTTGAGTAATGATACCTATTCAACTTTTGACCAAAAATACATTAATAAATGCCATGTGGATTTTACTTTTAGGTTTAAATGGACCAATAGCATAATGCAAATAATTGTGGTACTTATTGAATTTATTTACACATCATTTGTTATTATCCAAATGCTTATTGCAACTCCAAAACAGCAAAAATATTAGGACTCAAAATGTTTTCATATAGCTTGGCGGTTTTTTAGAGTTCACCAAATTGAGTATGCATAATGCATGCAATTACCTTTGTTTTTAATATTGTTAAGAAGTTCTTATTCTAATTTTTGAGAAGAAAAAAAGAAGAAGTGTGTATTGATCATGTCTAAATTCATTTTGTCAAATTTTAAACCGTTTATGAGTTTTTTAAAGTATTTGAAAATGGTATAGAGTAGGTAATTTAGTATATGTATTGGCTGTTATACTGTCTTATATAAAACAGAAAGCAAAAATTATAGCTTTTTGAGGGTAATTGTATTACTAATACAATGAATTTCCATATATTATATATAATATACACCTCAATACATAATAGATTTATCTAACTAATGCTTGAATGGCTGAAAGCCTAGAATTAAAGAATGTATGAAATAAGGTATTGTTAATACATAAAGTCAATGCATGCATTATTTTTTTTATATACTCTACCAAACGAGACGAAAGCTCCTCTAGGATACTATCTTGGTTACCTAGCACTGAATTAGGTAGCACACTCATTTGGTATTTCTTACCTATATATCTTACATATGATCTATTTTATTTTTATTTTTTGAAAAAGGTGACCAAGTTTTTGTGGCCACATTTTACCAATGCTTTGATCAATTTTCAGTTGTCTCTGGACTTCAAGCTAATATGGTGAACACAATTACAATAAAGGCTCTGGAATATAATTGCTTGAGAATAGGTTTGATCGAGAAACACCAATCTAATGCTTGGGAGCAGAGCTACAAGCCGGATATGGGTTACTTATATTTTGTATTGAGAAATCTATTAAATATGTATAAATATTAAGTTTAGAATTCAGTTACTAACATTTGAAATCATCGTAATAAATTCAAAACTCATAAGGTTAAAATTCTGACTTCGCCTTTTGTTAATGCTATAGATTGGAACAAACATGTGGAAGAGATTTTGAAAGATGCTAAAGGGAAAGCTTAAGTTACTCGGTTGTTCAGAATGCTATATGCATAATATATAGTAGTTCTTATTTGTAAAAAAATATATATTTTCTTGCCATTCATTTAAAGTTGGGATCAACTAATACTCTTGACGTTACAAAACTGACATATATTTCGTCTCATTTACCAACTCTGCTAACAGAAGTCATATAATAATTTAAAAAATAGACAAAATATTCAATAATAATGTCCCTATGATTTACGAAATTGTCCAAAACTGTCTCTTTACTTGTTTGGTTTACAAGTTATTTTAATTTTTATGTATGTTTATATTAATCATTGGTATTTGTTTAATGTGAGATATAATACTTGATGGTTGTTGATGAAATTTGAAAGATGGTAACCGTAAATATTCTTCATTCACCAGTAGATTACGTATAGGATTTTTATTAACCTTCATATAAGATTTCATTATTAAAAGTCTTTTTGAATTGATTTTTTTTTAAATTATTTTAGCTTATAAGCATTTTTCAAATTTACACAAACACTTCAAAAATATTAAAAAATTATTTAACTTGAAATAAGTAGAGAAGAATATTTAAGATTTTTCAAAATTAATTAACTAAGATCAAATATGTATCTTTACATTAAATAAATGTCATTAATATAAGCAACATAAAATAATCAGTAAACCAAACTTTTGGATATTTCACAAGTGACATGGACAACTTTGAAATTCTTTTTCCTATTTATTTATTTTTATTATTTTATAACAATTCTATATATTATTATATATATATATAAAATATGTGCCAGTTTTATAAGGGCGAGAACATTTGACCTTAACTTTAAACGGAGAGCAACAGTATATTATCTCTTTATTTTACAAATGACAAGGACAATTTTGAACATTTTTCTTAATAATATAATTATAATGAAAAATAATAATAATAAAGGGGGCCCTTAACCAATTTTGTTTTTTAGCAAGACAATAATTATTACACCAAGCTCACCTATCGGTCCCCAAAAAAATCCAAAATTTCTCATGCCGTTTCAGTTTATACGTTACAAATTCCGGAACGACACAAGTCTAACACCTCGTCTTATACTTCCCTCTCCCAATCTCCGCCGTCCGCGTCACACCTCCCTATACGTGTCATCATCTGAAAATTTTTACCACTCATCTCAACAAAGCTTCTCACATAACTCCCAATCTCCGCCGTCCCCGTCACTAATTTGTTTCTCTTATTTTTTTATTTTATTTTAAGTTTCATTTGTTTATTTTAACTTTACACATCACATATTAAATATATCAAAATTAAATAGAACAAATAAATTGACATAGAGAAAAATAATGGACTACTTTCTTTGTTACACATTTTTCGTTTTTTCAATAGTCGAATAATTTAAATTTGAATGAAAACTTGCTCTTAGAATCTTCAATTTCTTTTGAAATATAAAACTTATAAAGTACTATTGACAATTCAAAATATTTAAAAAATATATAAAAAATGTTATAATCAAAGATAAACTTATTTAAATCTCGATATTTGAAATATGTCATATAGACTAAAACGGAAGGAGTAGTTACTTTTTCCGCTCAATTTCCGTGACACTTTTTAAATTTTGAAATTCAAACAATTTATTTTTACGAATAGCTTATAAAATATATAAATTTTCTTTTAATTTTTTTTAAGATTTTATGATCAAAATTAAATTATTTAAATCTTAAAATTTAATACAAAATAAATTTAAATTATTTTTAAAATCTAAAAAAAACAAACTTAAATGACTGTTTGACTGTCGAAATCTAAATGAACCATGTCACATAAATCGTACAGATACATAAGGAGTAGTTGATGTGGCATAGAAAATCATAGACAGTACAATTCACCTTCTTAACTACACCCACTCTATATAAGCTCCTCAAAACCCACTCTCTCATTTCAACTTAACTTCACAAAAAACCAAAACTGAGATAAAAATAGAAACAAAGAAGAAATGACATAATCATTTACAAATATAGGCCCACTTTTTCTCTCCTTCACATAATTCTCTCCTTCCCGTGAAAAGGAAAGGTATTCCGGCGACTATTGTTACACTCATTCTATTCTTGTTCAACTACGCTAACAACTCCGAAGAGTGAAAGGAAGAAAAAGGTATCAAAATTTGACAATTTTTATTTTTCTATCACATTTGGAAACGTGAAGATGATAATGGTGAACGGATTATGCGCGATTGTATTAATTGGTTTTTGATGTGTGAAAAGGGAAAGGTGAATTAGGTGTGAATGAATTATGAATTCGCTGAACTTGATTTTCTTTTCAAAGCATTGATTTCTGTGAATTTGCATGTATTTCTGTGATTAAGAATTTAGGCATTTAAAGGATTCTGATCTAGACACACAAAGCGAGTAGGTTTTTAAAGCTCTGAGAATTCAGCAGAAAATGACAAAAGAATATAATTAAGCTGTAGAGAGAGAGAGTTTTACAGTAGAAGAAGTTGTACCTGTTTTGGTTGTGGTTGATAGACATGCCTTTTCCGATGAAGGTTCAACCGATCGATTCTTCAACATACAGAGAATCGATCAAAAATGATGCAGTAAAGCCTTTGCTGAAATCACGACTTAAAAGGTTCTTTGATCGGCCGTTCCCTAGTGTTTTACGGATTTCGTCGGCGGCTGAGAAGCCAGGTGCCGCCGGCGCTGCTAATGATGGACCAGGCGCTGAGTTTGAGCCGAATTCGGTTTCTTTGGACAAATTGGTTCAGAATTTCATAGAAGAGAACAATGATAAGTCGTCTGCCGCTAGATTTGGCCGTAAATGCAATTGCTTTAATGGCAACAACGATAGCTCCGATGATGAGTTTGATTTCGACTCTGTTACCAACTCCTCTTCGTTTGGGGATTCTTCCGATACTCTCAAGGTAATAAAATCTCTTGTATATAAAAAGAATTCTCTAGAATTGCAGTTTATTCCTAATTGAAATCTCATTTTGTCTATATTTGTTGCAATTCAGAGCTTAATTCCCTGTGCAAGTGTTACCGAGAGGAATCTATTAGCTGAAGCTTCAAAAATCTTCGAAGAGAACAAATCTTGCAAGCGTAAGGACGATTTGAGAAAAATTGTCACTGATGAACTTTTAGCACTTGGCTATAAAGCTTCAATCTGCAAATCCAAATGGGAAAAAGCTTCTTCTACTCCTGCAGGTACATGCTTCGTTCTTCTTATATGAGTTTTTGCTCCGTCAAATTTTAGTATTTTCGTGCGGTGAATAATGTGCTTTTTTTTCTAAATTTATTCGATATATTCAGGTGAATATGAGTATATTGATGTGATAGAGGACGGCGAAAGAGTGATACTCGACGTAGATTTCAGATCTGAATTTGAAGTAGCGCGATCGACGGGAAGGTATAAATCAATTCTGCAATTGCTCCCGTTTATCTTCGTCGGCAAAGCCGATCGGCTTCTGCAAATAGTGTCAATCGTCTCAGAAGCAGCTCGACAAAGCTTGAAGAAGAAAGGTATGCACATCGCTCCATGGCGCAATCCGGAGTATATGAAAGCCAAATGGCTCAGTCCCTATACTAGTCTCGCACCTGCTGTGGAATCAAACGCGGCTGCTGAGATCACGGAGTCGGAAAGTGAGTACGGTGAGTTGGACTTGATTTTTTCTGATAAAACGCTACCGTTAGACTCCGATCCAACAACAGATCCGTCGGAGAATACTTCCGGCGAGGAAGAGAAGCCGGTGATGATGACATGGCAACCTCCGGCAGTGAAGCCAAAGAAAACCAAAGTGGTTGTCACTGGATTGGCTTCCCTTCTCAGGGAAAAACCCTAAAAGATTTTGTTAATTCTAACATTGTGAATCTTTTGTTTTGTTTAGCGAGTAATCGGAAATTTAGATAGATGAACGGAAACTGTTTTTTTCATTTTCCGTTCCGTTTTCTGCTCCTCTTTGAAAGGGACAAAGGGTACTGTAATAGAATCTAGAACCAACCTCTTTGCTGTAATGAAAAAGTAAAGAATAAAGAAAATATTATTCTTAATATTTTACTACTTTATTGTATTTGAGATGGTAAAATATTCAATTTTTAAAATATAATGAGCAATGTGTAAGAAAGATAATTTGAGATACATATCCAAATGTTCCTGAGCAGGAAACAATGTTGTGTATAGAGATTTCAGATAAATGGATTATATTCATTGAAATATTATTGGGAAGATACAAGTGGAATAGAGTGACCAGTAAATCATAGGAAGAAGAGAATGAGCATTGGGGATAAGGTTAGGTGCTCCCGTGCCATCTCGGACGCCGTAAAAAGGAGGCATGTGGTATGTAAAATCGATAATTCGAATAAAAAAAATACTTAATTTTAGACAATTTTGATAATTGTTTTTTAAATTTAATAATAAAATAAAATTATTTTATTATATTATTTAGTATATAAAGTCTAGTTTCATACTTTTATTTTTTGTTGTAAACTCTTGGTTATTCACTTTTCTATTGTTAATATTTGTTTTGAGCAAGATGTGCATGATTTATTTGATTTATCACCTTATTTCTAAGTAATTTTCAATGATTTTTTTTGTGTCAATTCTTAATGGTTGAATCAATAATAATTAATAACAAAATAGTCAATATTTTAACAATTCTATAATGATTTAGCATATTTAAATTGATAATCGTTAAGTCAAACTGACAAGCTTTAAAATCAAGTTAAAATGATTTATATACAACCCAGTTGATAAGGGGTGTTGGAAAAAAAAAGTCATTGGAATAATGTGATATTCAAACCATTCTAACAATAATTATATTCATATTAATTGATATATGTTTAAAATAAAAATACTTAATATTAAAAATAAAATATATTTTTTGATATATTAAAAATAATAAATAAAAATATAAATATATTTTAATATATAGAAAAAATAAAGATGAATGAAAAAGTAAAAAATTAATTTAAAGGGACTGAGTACCTCCAAACTTTCACCAGTTGATTTTTTTTTTCTAATGAAGAATGATGGAATGCCTAAAACTAAGACCGGTAATATCATATACTACTATCGAAAAGAAGAATTAACCTCTAGAAAACTCATTTTTAAGGAGAATATTACTGTTCCTAATTACTTGTACATTTTTTCTTTTTTAGTAGTCCTTAATTATTTATCCATTTTGACAAATCAAGATAGAACAAAAAAAATTTCTCTATTACACCCTCAATTTATTACTTTGAAAAATTAGAACTTTTGAAAATCTTAATCTTTTAATTCATCCGCGTCATGATTAATAAGGGTAAAATGATAAACTCACTATATTAATTTTTTTTAAAAATAAATGTGTCAATTTAAAAGTGTACAAGTAATTAGGGACACATGGAGGAATATATATTATTGTTCTTCTCCTAATTGAGAAACTGGAAAAAGAAAAAAGTGATGCTCAAGTTAATGTGTTTTTTATGAGTAACTGTGAATCCCTTTTCTTTATTCCTTTTTCTTTATGACTTTTTAACTCTAGTTTGGAATGGACGTTGTAACTTGTAAATAAGTTGCGTATAATTACTGAGCTCTATTAAGTGTTTGAATTCGGAATAACCAGACTTTAATATAGATATTGCGGTATTGGACACCACCAAATGAAAAATTATATGGCAAATTATATTGTGTATATCAGTAAAAGAACTTTTTATACTTATATATGTTCTATATTACTAATCCCGTATATTGTGTGTATATATATATATATATATATATATATTTTATTTTAATTCCTCTTTAAAAATAATCTTTTATCAATATATACTTTTCACATTTTGAATAATTAAATTTGATTTTGCTACTGTTTAGGAGTAATAAAAATCACATTTTGGCCAAAAAAATAATTAAAATTGGAACTTATTTTAAAATTTTAAAGTTGTATTTGAACAAATAACTTTGAAAATCTTCTGTATTTAATCAAATTTCGGGCTCAAATATTTGAATTTATATGGTCAAATATCCCAAGTCCCAAACAAAGAACATTGACTTTCTTGGTTATACACCAATCGACTGTTTGTTGAGTCTTCGTTTCCACACGCTTGGATTAAAAATTGAGAAAATCTCATAATATACTATAGTTTTAGGGTGTGTTTGGTACGAAGGAAAATGTTTTCATGAAAAACAAGTAGATTTTTGATTTATTTTCTCATGTTTGGTTGGTGAGTAGAAAATATTTTGTGGAAAAGATTTTTATTGTTTGATTTATGAATGAAAAATGTTTTTGAGAAATATCTTTTATTTTACTAGAGTAGAAAATAATTTTTGAAATTGAAAATATATTTTAAAAACAAACTTAAATATTTTTTTGGGAGTGGGGGGCTGGTAGGGGGCAGCGGGGGTTGAGGATAGGGGTGAAAAAATAAAATTTTGTAGTTGAAAATATTTTTTAAGAAAAAACATAAAAATAAAATAAAATTGAGGGGTGG